GACCGACAGACGTGCGCGGGGTGTGAAGAGTAGAGGAATAGGGAGAGCGGGGGGTGGAGAGAGAGAGAGAGAGAGAGAGAGAGAGAGAGAGAGAGAGAGAGAGAGAACCTTTTCTAAAACGTTATTATAGAGGTTCCACCAAAATTATCAGAGTGTGACCCAGGCCTGTCTTCCTAACCTGTACCTAGGAACATAATTATGAGTTGAGTCATTCCCACTCCTGCTGCAGACCTGGGGCTCTGTCCTCACTTACCATCTCTAAGGCAGAGGTGTCAGGGACCTCTGGGGTCCAGGATAGCCCCTCCCCTGGGGTTTCTGGAAGTCCGACCATACTAGAAGCAGGTTTGGGGCTTTAAAGCTGGTGGAGGTGTGATGGATGTGGACTGGCCAGGGGTGGTGATGCCTGGATAGCTTCATCTTTAGGAAACTGGAGACAGGAAGGGGAAATGGGGCAGGAAGGTAGCTCTAAGCTTTGAGGCCACCCCAGGAAACTGAGGGAGGCTCTGAGAATGGGCTGGAGCTGAGAGCCCACTTCCGAGAGTGCAGGGCAAGAGATGGGAGGAGTCAAGGAGGGGGGTTTCTAACTAGCCCTCAGCCCTGGGGAGAAGAGGAAACTTTGAAATGAAGGCTGCTAGGGTAAGTTATCCAGCTGTAGTGCAGAACCCTGAGACCCCCCACAAGTACACTCCAGGTAAAAGAGGCTCAGAGCCTGGAGAGGGCATATTGATCCAGGGCCTCCAACAACACTTGGCGTCCCAGTATCATCCTGTCTCTTAACTTCTTGTCCCTTTATCTGCCCCCATCCTCTTTCGCTACCTGGTCCTCCCTCCTCTCCCTTTCTCCTCTCTTCTGTGACTTGTTCAATCAACAAGAATCATTTTGAGCAGTTCCTTGTAGGCACTTAGAGCAGAACAAAGCAACAGTAAGAAACTATGGAAAGTGAATGATTTTTTTCTTTTTTATACATGTATTGCATGGTGTGCATATATATGTGTATGTGCATTTATTTGCATGTGTGTGGATGTGTTATGCACATGAATGTGCATGTGTGTGGAAACCAAAGAGTGACATAGGAGTCCTTGATCGCACTCCACTGTGTTTACTGAGGCAGGGTCTCTTGTAAACCCAGAACTCAGCAATGTGGGTAGACTTGTTAGCTAGCTTGTTCCAGGGATCCCCAGTCTCTACCTTCTGTGCACTGGGATTACAGAAAGGCTGTCTGGATTTTATGTAGGTGCTGGGGATCCAGACTCTGGCCCTCATGCCCATGTAGCAAAAGCATTAATTAGCTGAGCCATCTCCCCAGCATGACAGTAATTCTTTTTTTCAAAGATTTATTTATTTTAGCCAGACATGTGGTATACACCTTTAATCCCAGCACATGGGAGACACAGGCAGGTGGATCTCTGTGAGTTCAAGGGCAGCCTAGTCTAAATAGTAATTTCCAGGCCAGCTGGGGCTACAGGGACACCCTGTCTCAAAAAGACCAAAAAAATTATTTAGTTTTATATTATGTGTATGAGTGTTTTGTCTGAAGTTATGTAAGTTCACCACACGTGTGCAGTTCCCACTGAGGCCAGAAGAGGGTATTGGATCCCCTGGAACTGGAGTTACAAACAATTGTTAGCCACCATATGGGTGCTGGGGATCAAAGCTGGGTCCTCTGCAAGAACAGCCAATAATCTTAACTGCTGAACCATCTCTCCAGCCCTTAATTCCTTTTTGGGGGGTCTTTTTGAGACAGGGTCTTCCTGTAGCTCCAGCTGGCCTGAACTCACTGTGTCGACCAGGCTGGCCTGCCTCTGCCTCCCGAGCGCTGGAATCAAAGGCATAAAGGCATGTGCTACCATGCCCGGCTTCTTAATTCCTTTTTAAAAAATATTTGTTTGTTGTTGTTTTGAGACAGGCTGGTCTAGATTTGCTATATAAATGAGGATGATGTTGAGTTTCTGATCCTCTTGAATGCTAATATTACAGGTGTGCAAAACTAAGTCTTCCTCAACCTTTCTCTCCCTCTCTCTCTCCTTCCTTCCTCCCTTCCTCCTTCTCTCCCTCCCCTTCTGAGACAGCATCTCACTCTGTAGCCTAGGCTGGTTCCCTCAGCCTTCCAAACGCTGGGGTTACAGGTGTTAGCCACCGTTCCTGGCTGGAATGAATAATTCTTTTTCGTGATTGTTGTTGAGACAAAGTCTTGCTGTATAGCCTTGACTGCCCTTAACTAACTATGTAGATTGGCCTGGTTTCAAACTTGCAGCAGTGCTCCTTCCTCTGCCTCCCAAGTGCTGGGATTATAGGTATATGCTATAATGACTTCTTGAAGTTATTCACCTCATAGAATTTGTGGAGCCACAGGTTATCCTCATTTGCACACACCCTGAATTGGCAGCATCATGTGGTTGGTAATCTTTAGCCAATCAGCAAAAGCATGGGACCGCCCCCTTTTTCTGCCTCTTGAGTATGACATTGGGAAGGATCCCTGGAGCCTTGCTGGTTCTACCCTCAGATCTTCTACTTACTAATTCTGTGATCTTAGATAATTTAACACTTCTGAGCTGTAAACATTGATTGAATGATGATGATGATGATGATGGTGGTGGTGGTTTATTGTGGGGATTTAGTGAGATAAGCCAAGTGAACAGCTAGCAGCACAGTCTCAAAGTTAGGATATGTGCTCACTGAAAGATGACTATTACTATTGCTCAAAACAGAAAATCTCAGTTGCATTTGGTGACCGTACCTGTAATTCCAACACTCCCTGGAATCCAATAATAGATAGGCAGAGCCAGGTGGATCCCAAGTTCCAGGAGAGTCTGGGCAATTTACTGAGAGCCTGTCTCATGAATTAAAAATAAATAAATAAATAAATAAATAAATAAATAAATAAATGGCTGGGAATATAGCTCAGCATGTGAGGCCCTAGGCTCATAAAATTTCAACAAAGCCTGATGAGAATAAAGAAGATATTGTTTCTGGATGCTGGTTCTCAAAGGCCTATGCACAGTTTTTCACTTGGATAAGAAACGGAAATAGACAAGCTGAACTTTGTAAGGTAAAAAAATAGGAAAAAATCTTGACTCCCTTGAGGAGCCTGTACCCACACTTGGGTATGTATGACTTTCTTCTGAGTGCCTCTTTTTCTCCTAACCCTCATACTTAAGCTTATATTAAAATATCCTTAATAAGTGGGGCTGGAGAGATGGCTCAGCGGTTAAGAGCACTGGCTGCTCTTACAGAGGACCTGGGGTGGGTTCCTAGAACCCACACGGCAGCTAACAACTCCAGTGCCCTCTTCTGGCCTTTGAGGGCATTTGTACACACTTCTTGTGCTTATATACAGGCAAAACATTTATACACCTAAAATTAAAAAAAAATAAATTGTTAAAGAAAAAAAAATGTGCTGGAGAAATGGCTCAGCAGTTAAGAGTACTTGCTGCTCTTGCAAAGGAACTGAGTTGAGTTCCCAACACTCACATTGGGTAGCTTACAACCACCTGTAACTTCAGCACCAGAGGATCCGATGCCCTCTTGCTAACTCTTCAGGCACCTGCACACACATGGCACACACACACACACACACACACACACATACACACACACACACATACATTAGAAATGATAAATCTTTTTTTAAAAAGAAATTTGGTCTATTTTACCAATAATTCCTGCTATTTGTTGAGAATTTAGTATTGCCAGGCATTCTTTAGGCTTTTTGTTTATAATATGTGACATAATCTGAGCTAATATTGTGAGGTTTATGAGGTAAGCATTGCTATTATCACCACTTTATAGAGGAGGAAGTAGAGGGTCAGAAAGGTCACATCCTCAGCATTAGTCACTGAGCTGGTGAGTGGCAGAATTTGAAGAGAGGGACATAATGCAAAGCCTTGTGCTTCTTCTCTGAGCTCATCTAAGTGCTGACCAAAGAAGGAGATGACACAGTCGTACCTGCATCTGTCCATCTTCCATCCATCACCAACTGGATCAGGGCTTCTTAATCATCATCATCATCATCATCATCATTCTTTCTATGTATATGAGAGCAAGTGCTGGTGTGTCAAGACACATGTGCAGGGGTCAGAGGACAACTTTCAGGAATCAACTCTCTTCGTCCAACATGGATTCTAAGGATCATGTCAGACATGTGCAGCAAGTGCTTTTACCCGCTGAACAATCTCACTAGTTTGAATTTCTTGAATAATAAACAAGGGGGAGGGGAGGAGACAAGTAGAGTTAGGACAGGGAAGAGTAGGTTTTCATTTTGTTTTGTTTTATTTGTTTTTGTTTTTTATTGGGTTTCCTGCAGCTGGCTTGGAACTTGCTGTGTAAACCAGGCTGGCCTCAATCAATGTCACAGAGATCTGCTTACCTCTG